GCCCTATGCTGTTCAACATCTTCATCAATGACCTAGATTAGGGGAGTGAAGGGGCACTCATCAAATTTGCAGATGAGACCAAGCTTGGGGGATAGGAGAATTACTAATACTTTGGAAGATAGACTCAAGATTCAGAAGGATCTTGGTAGACTTGACATTGGGCCCTATCCAATAAAATGCAGTTCAGTGGTAAGAAAAGGAAAAAAGTATTTTTTCCCATACCTTCTTGAGAATAACAAGACTACAACCAGCAAACTTCTGTGACTTGGCTACGTTTCTTCTCTCTAACAGAATAACAGATTTGAACGATATCTCAGAGGTCTTCTAGTCCCATGATGGCAAACCTATGGCATGCGTTGCCAGAAGTGGCATACAGAGCCATCTCTCCAGACATGTGGAGCTGTCTCCTGTTGCTCTTCTGGGTTATGGTGTGCCGGCCAGCTGGTTTTCATGTACAAGGGCATGCCGGAAATCGGAAGAGCAGCTGCCCATTGCGCATGCACGCTCCGGGAAAATGATCTTCCTGTTTCCAGCACATGCATGTGCATTGGCCACTTGGTCTTCTGGTTTCTGGTGTGCATGCACGCGTAAAGACCAGCAACGGCAAGAGCAACAAGCGCATGTGCCAAAAGACGCAGAGAGGGGATCCTGGCAGTCGCTTCCTAGGGGAGCAGAGCTGTCGGCCAGGACGGGCAGTCCAGGACTTCCCTCCCCGCCTGAGTGGGCTTCTTGCACAGCCCCAGGCGGTCCGGAGCACCTGGCCAGCTCGGGTACCCCAGAAGAGCTGACCGGCCCTCGCACAGCCCCCGCCACTTCTGAGAAGGAAGCGTGACCACTTCCCAGCTGACGCGCTGTCTCCAGCATTCCTCTTGCACAGCCCCGCAGCCCCAGAAGAGCAGAAGCAGTGGCACCTGCAGGGGGAAGGGCAAGAGTGAGTGACCAGCTCAGGCTGGGCGGCCAGCTGCCCTGCCCGCTGCTCCTTCCCCTAGGTATGTTGGACTTCGACGAGTTCGAGTGGCAGCTAAATGAAAACAAACAGGGTAAGCAAGCATGGTTGAGGGCAAGCAAGTTCGCCAGGTTAAATGCCAGAGGGAGAAAAAGAAGTAGGAGGTAGCAACAATGGCACTCTCCCCTTTGACCGCTGGCAATTCCGTTCTTCACACTGCTGGTTTTCGGCACGGCCCATTGGCTGGCCCTGTTTAAGAAAAGGGTTGGGAATCCTCGTGGGCCTGGCCGACTCTTCTTTACCATCCCCTTCCCTCCACCTAATTTGGTGCAAGTCTGAAGTGATTCGTGGGGGGGAAGGAAGCAAGGCCCCAGAAGAGCAGCGGCAGCGGCAGCGGCAGCTGCAGGGGGAAGGACAGGAGCAACCGGCTGGCTTGGGTGCATGGGGCAGCAGGGTGGAGAGGGAAGCCCCGGCCTGCCTGTCCTCATCACTGCCTCCCCCTCACCCCTGGTGGCAGTGGCTGTTGAACTGCCACTTCAGGTCGGGATGCTGGAGCATCCAGAAGACGGAGAAGCCACCGGCGGGGAGGCGAGCTACTCCAGGGTTGCATCAACCTTTGCCGGCGCAAATGGCCTGCCGGCGCCACCTCTTTGCAGAGGCAGTAGCACTTCCTCCTCCCCCTGCTGCTAGCCTCGCGCTCCTGGCAGCATCCTGTATGGTTGGAACGGTTTTGCAGGCCATTCACGCTGGCAAAGGTTGGTGCAGGAGGCTTTCCAGGCCCAAAACGGGGCACAGGGGGTGGGGCACATGTACTGGGGGAGCATGGGGTGATGTGCCCACATGTGCATTGCATTATGGGTGCCAGCACACAGGCGCAATTTTGGCACACGACGACAAAAATGTTAGCCATCTCTGTTCTAGTCCAACCTCCTCTCAGGCAGGAAACCCTATACAATTTCAGACAAATGCTGTCCAATCTCTTCTTAAAAGCCTCCAGTGTTGGAGCATCCACAACTTATGGAAGCAAGTCATTTCACATTAATTGTTCAAACTGTCAGAAAATTTCCATTTAGTTCTAGATTTGTCTCTCTCCTTGATTAGTTTTCATCCATTGCTTTTTGTTCTGCCTTTAGGTGCTTTGGAGAATAGGTTGACCTCCTCTTCTTTGTGGCGGCCCCTTAGATATTGGAACCATGCTATCATGTCATCCCTAGTCCTTCTTTTCATTAAACTAGACATACCCAATTTCTGCAACTGTTCTTCATATGTTTTAGCCTCCAGTCCCCTAATCATCATTGTTGTTCTTCTTTGCACTCTTTTTAGAGTCTCAACATCTTTTTCATATCGTAATCAAAACTGAATATAGTATAGTCTTACCAAGGCATTATAAAGTGGTTGTAATACTTGATCATGATTTTATTCTTCTGTTAATGCAGCTTGGACTGATTTGGCTTATTTGGCAGCTTGAACGCATATTTAAGTGTATGTCCACTAGTACTCCAAAATCCTTTTCACAGTTAATACCATTGATCCAGGTACTGTTTTTTCCCCTCTTGTGTAAAGACAGAAAGACAGATGCAAACAATGAGTTAAGCAATTCTACTTTCTTGCTGATATTTACCTTCTTGCCATTTTTTTTCTATTATGGACCAATCATTTCCTTGACTTTTTTTTTAACGTTGAAAAAAGCTGTTTTCTGTCCCTGTTATTTTTGACATTTGTCACCAATCTTAGTTCATTTTGAGCCTAAGCTTTCCTGATTTCATTTTTGCAGTTTCGGGCTATTTGCTGATATTCTGCCTTACTTATGTGCCCTTCTTTTCACTTTTTATACTTTTTGTCTTTCGGTGTCAGCACTTCAAGCTGCATTTACTCTAGTGCTGACATAAGAAGGAGAAGCGGAGGTGTCTGGAAAGGGACGTTTGACTTTTCACCTACTTATTTTCCCTGGAGATAATATCCCCTAGGAGATGGGATGGGAGGGGGGAAATTCCTTTGAGCTGGAGCGGTAGATTAAGGGTAGAATGACTTAGAAAATGGCCAATGAGTACAGGGGAGTGGGGAACGGAAAGGGAGGGGTTTGGGTCTGGAAGTCAGTATTGGCTTCGATGGAATCAGATTTAGAATGTCATGCTTAATAAATAGGAGTTTTCCTTCAAAGACTTTGTTTGAAATGCAATTTATTTGAGACGACCTCGAAACCTGACATTCGGTTTATCAGAAAGTTCCTTGTGCAGCCATGCTGGTTTATTTTGAGATCTCTTATTTTTCTTTTTCATTGGAATTGTGCTAGACTGGGCTTTAATAATCTCACTTTTCAAAGTTTCCCAAGTTTCTTGTGTTATTTTCCCATTGACGATTCTCATCTATGGAATCCTTCTCAAGCTCTCTCTAAGTCAGGGGTGTCAAACTCAAGGCCCGGGGGCTGGATTCGGCCCACGGGGTGGTTTGATCTGGCCCATGGGGCCACCCTGGAAACAGCGAAGGACCGGCCTGAGGTGCCTCTGCCAGTGAACCCGGAGCTTGGGAGGGCCACGGGCAGCCCTCTGAAGCTCTGTTTTCACTGACAGAGGGTGCAGGAGGCCGTCACAGCCAAAACCAGAGTTTGTGAGATGGCCCTCCGGAGCTCTGTTTTCGCCGGCAGAAGGTTGCAGGAGGCTGTCACAGCAAAAAACGGAGCTTGGGAGCCCGTTTTCACTGGCAGAGTTCTCAGGCCACAACAGGCGCCCTTGACACAAGTGATGTTGAACTGGCCATGCCCTCCCTGGCCCCCCGACATCAAACACAACCCTGATGCGGCCCTCAATGAAATCGAGTTTGACACCCCTGCTCTAAGTTAATTGATAGCAGCTCTCCTGAAGTCCAAGACTCTATTGTTTGTTCTATTCCTTGTGCTTGCGTTATGTTGAATTTTAATATTGCATGGTCACTCTCTTCCAAGGTTCTTCAACCCATTCTATAATTTTATCTCTGTTAATGAGAATTAAGCCACGTATGGCTGACCCCCTTGTTTCTTTCTCTACCTTTCCTATAATCAATATGCTGCAAATTCTGTTATTGCTTAATTGTTTTCATGCTATTTCCCACAACAACTTTATTCTCTGGTAAAGATTAGATTCTACTGGAACATAATGAATTAGTATAATGAAATAGGAATTTTTAAAGTAAATTAAAGAGAGGAATAATGTGTTCCAGTGTAAATTTCCTTTCTACTTTGAAAAGGCATGCAAATAATACACTTGATTGTTCTAGCTATAGTAACTATGTAATTTGACAATTGCTATGAATCCTCTATTGGCTGCTTTTATTATACTTAATGACATGCTAGAATTCCATACCTCATTCCATTGCTGATTATTTCCAAGAAAAGGTGCACTGCTGTGAATAAATATTTGATTCTTCATGTATTATAACCCCCAAACCAGATATGTTCTTCTCTCGTGTTTACTTTCTTCTTGTTCTGTGTTACTATAACATATTTTTATTGTTTATGTTTAACTTGTTCCAATAATAATTCCACTAGTGATGTTAGCATGCAACTGCGTATATAGACGAGAAAATATAATCTCTTACTAATATAAAATGGATATTCCTCATTTCTTGGAAATTACAGTTTTTAAAGCATTTGTTGTTCCAGATTTTGCTGCTCTTTAAACTTTGACGTTACGCTCTTTTATAATAACATTGTAACTACATTACTTCAATATTAGTCAAAAGAAATCCTAAAGCATGGTCTAAAAATATACATTCAAAGTTATTAACCATTGAAAGAGATAATTGATATTCAGGTTTCTTGCTGTGAATTCTAAGTAGGAATTCTTTTTTTGGTTATGGCAGATGTTCACCCATGTTTTACCTGGCTTCTATTTCTTTATTTTGTTGTCTTTTTAAAAATCACTTAAAAATATTTGGAAATTCAGGACTTTTAACTAAGCAATCAATGTTAAAAGATGCTCGGAAAATATGTTAGCTGAGGATTTATTAAACCCATTTTCAAAATGTTGACTGCTACAGTTATTAGCCTTTGATACATAAGATTTTGTTTGTTTTTCAGAATTCATACCCCAGGCTTTTGGAATGCCTTTATCACAAGTAATAGCAAATGATCGGGCATACAAATTGAAGCAAGATACTCATAGAGAAGAACAGAGAGATGTTTCAGAATTTGTAACGTCACTTTTACCTTTTGGGAGTAAAAGACAGAACAAAGAACTCTCAAGCAGTAATTCATCTCTTAGTTCCACCTCGGAAACACCAAATGAATCTACTTCACCCAATACACCAGAACCAGCCCCCAGGGCACGGAGAAGAGTAAGTATCTATTCATTGCTTAGTGGTTACTGCAAGTATTGTGGGACCTTCCTTTGCTTACTGAAGCTGGAGTCTCTGAAATGTTAGTTTATACTAAAATTAAAGTCGGCCCTAATAGAAATGATAGAAATTATTATTTTAATGGTCATTGCCTTTCCCAGCTGTTCGTGGGAGAGAACAAAATGGACACAAATCTCTTGCCAGCACCTCAAGGGACATAAGGAATCTTTGGAAACTTTCCTTTTCCCCAGTCAGTTTCCACTTAATATTTCAAATTACTGAAAAAGAAACTCATCTCTCTGTTGTGGTCTCTGTCTCTGTCTCTGTCTCTGTCTCTCTCTCCCTCCCTCCATCCCTCCCTCTCTCTCTCTCTCTCTCCCCCTCCCCTTCCTCCCTCCCTCTTAAATGCACACACACACACGAACCCAGATATTTCTCCACCTCATCTCAGCCTCAAATATGTTTATAGTATAAAGGATGGTTTATGTAGTTACAAGATTAATGCTCAGTCATTTAAAAACATTGGAATCTGCCATATACTGAATCACTCCACTTACGCATCTATTATCAACAAGTAGCATTTTTCCAGAATTTGTTTAATCTGGAGTTTTTCCAATCTTGCCTTTCACTTTTTTTTCCTTTGCAATGCATACAGTATGCTTCATCAGTGAATTCATATTGCATATTAAAAATTACTTGTTCTGTTCTAAAAGAACCTAATAATGCTCATGAATTACCTGATAATCTTACCGTCTTTTGAATAAAGAGTGTTAGTGTTTTAATACTGGGAATCCATTGGCGCCTAATAATCTGAAGTCTGTATTTTTCCTCCTAGTGACTTTGTACATACGTTATTTTAAAAAGCAAAGCTTATTGCTTTAACCTACAATTTCACCTTTCATTCCACAAGAGGTAGTCCTCAATTTACAGTGGCAATTGGAATTTCCATCGCTAAAAGATGTCATAAAGCTCAACTTCAGGTGACCACATTCCTTAGCAACAGAAATCCCAGTACTCCCTGTTGCCGTTGTTAACCAAATCCTACCAGTTGTTAATTAAGGACACCCTCTTTCCAGCCCCAAACTTTAGCTCTTCCAAGGAAATGGCAGCCTCCCTTCAACTCCCCCCACCTGCCTATTCCTCCCCATCGCTGTCCTTTTGGCTACCCTGCACCCTGCCTTGCGGGGTGTCATGTATCCCCAGAACTGTGTTCTGGGGATACATGACAATTCATGAGCTTCATGGCACACTATGGCTGTGGGGCTGCAAGAAACCCTTGACCCACAGCCAAAAGTCACAACTGCCCTTGGAAAAGTCAGCCAGGCCCATAGGGCAGCATGAAACTGTAGCTGCCTCAGCCTAGTATGAAGCCACAGGCAACCCAGCCTGGCTCAGCAGTGCAGCGTGAAGTCTCAGTCACCCCAATCCAGCAGCATGGCACAAAATCATAGCCACCCACTCTCTTTCCCAGCTGATCTTCACCACCTTCTTGCTCCTATTTCTGATGAGACATGTCTGGCCAGGCCATCCACAAGGCAGCTGTTGGCCACTCAAGGCCTTCTTTCTCAGATCACATATGAAAACTGACACTCAGTAATTTAGCGACTGGGCATAAGTACCATTTATTCAGTGCTATTGTAAGTTTGGATTGTTGCTGAATGAGTGGTTGTAACTCAACTACCTGTAATACTATTTCTTTAAAATGCAGATGGTAAGAATACTTGATGCTGCTTTTGAAGACTGCAGCTAAGACATTTTTGATAGTTGATGGATGTAATAACTATAGTATTTAGCTCATGTACCTTTGGACTTATAGAGATTATGTATTTTGGAACCATATTGCCTTTAATAACATTATAGAAGAAAATATTGCTCATTTAATTACTTTTATAGATAGCAAGAGAACTGTTTCATATTATATGCTATATTTTGTACCTCAGAAATCTTTCTGAATAAAAGTAAAACTTAATAATTTCAAATATCAGCTATATACACTTTTTGAATTACTGCTCTATGATATGAAGACTAAGGAAAACTAAATACCATACAACATTTCTATTACTTTTGTTCAAATTAGCAAACATGCATAATCCATCAACTATAGTATCCTTCTGGGCAATTGCAATTATAGGCAGTGTATTGGAGGCTGAACAACCGCCCCTGTGGTTGCTCCAGAGTGGGGTGCTGTGTGGTGTTTAATATCTGCATAAAGCCATTGGGAGGGGGCTTGTTTGCAGTATCACTCTCTCTTAGAGTTTGGGAAACATAGTGATCTGGATAGTGACAGAACTATTCTCCAAGCAGGTGCATTTCGTATCGTGCCAGAAGATCCCCTCCACATGCACCTGGCTAAATTATTTGTACAGCACATCTGTAGACTGTGCAGAGCCCCACAATGCATAATCTCAGATTGAGGGGTGTAATTCACCTCAAGGTTTTAGCAGGAATTTTTAAAACTTCTAGGGACAGATCAGGTCTTAGTTCCAGTCATCATCCCCAAACTAAGGGGGTGCAAACTTGTGAAGTCGGTCCTAGAACAGTATCTTAGATGCTATATTAATTATCAACAAAATAATTGGATGGATCTCTTGCCCTTTGCTGAGGAGGCTTATAACAATTCCATGCACAGCACAATGGGTTTCACCCCGTTCAAATTAGCCACTGGTCAGGATTTTGCTTCCATGCCCAAACTGCCTCTAAATGATCCACCAATTGCCTCCCTGAAAGATTGGGTCTCCCAATTATGAAACACCTATCCTGTGGTGAGGAAATCGCTTGAGGAGGGGAGAGGCTAATAAAAAGCGAGTGAAACTTAAAGACTTGGTAGTAGGTGACTGGGTCTATCTTTCAACAAAATATTTGCAGTCCAGACAGCCATCCAAAAAACTAGGACCCAAATATGTGAGCCCATTTTTCATTAAACAAATCATAAACCCAATAATCATTGAACTAGACCTGCCAAAATTCCTTAGACAAGTCCACACTATATTCCATTGCAGCTTCCTCAAACCTGAAATCACATCACTGCTGCATCCCACAGCGCTGCAACCACCCGAACCCCCTCATGATCGAAGGCAAGCAACACTTGGAAATTAAGGACATTTTGGATTCCTATAAACATCGAGGGAAGATACAATACTTAATTGCATGGAAAATCTTTCCCCCTTTCAAAACTTAATGGGTTGACCGGTGTCACGTTAAAGCCACTAGATTTCTAAAACTATTCTACAACCAGTATCCTGATAAACTTAAGTAGCATTGTTACTATATTGCTTTGTATTTCTCTCTTTCTCTCTTCCTTTTATTTTTTGTTCTGCAGGATTATTGGGTATGTTCAGGGGGGCAGCATGTCAGGTCCATCATCACCGGCACAGGCACCTTACTGTGCCATTAGAGCAGGGGAGGGGATGGGGGTTTATTGGGTGCTATTGCTATAACTTCAAACGTGGGAAATAGGGAGGGAGGAGTGACAACAGAAGAAGACCAGATCACTAAACTGGCTTATATCAGGATCTTCAAGGCCACTTGCCCTGAGAATGGAATGTTACCAGTTTGACATCTCAGAGCTTGTCAAAACATCTTACTGGCATCACATTGGCTGGCCGGGGGAATTGGTCATGTGGGGAGTGAGTGGAAGTGAAAAGAATTAGCATTGTATTTTGTGTGGGAATACCAGATTCCACCTGACTTTACTGCAACCAGTTTCTTTCAGTAAAAGTTCCTTTACTTCAACTAAATGGAGTCACGAGTCTTATTTTCCTGAAAGAGTGAACTGGGGCAGGTTTCTGCCATCTCGGGAATCTCAGAGGCCTATATTGACAGAGGTATAAATTTGCAGACAGGTATACACATTGATACATTTCTCATCAAGCAATTAGGATTCACAGAAAAATGTGATAACTACTGCAGAATAAACAATTGAGTAAAGAGAGATAAAATGAAACTATTTGAAAGTAGAGATGCACAAGTTACTAGTATAGCTTTTAATGCACACTTTCAACAGATTATTTTAATACTTATAGTCTTTAATCTATATTTCAAACTTTGTATAAACTGTTTACATTTTTGTTATTTGCCTTAAATACTTGCTAGAAGAAATTAACTAATAATGATACTAACACCTAGTAGATGCTACTAATACAGAATTACCGTATTTTTCAGAGTATAAGACGCACTTCCCACCCCCTAAAAGAGGGTGAAAATTTTAGTGCATCTTATACACTGAATGTAGCCCCGCCCACTCGCCGGCCCCCACCCTTCAGCCTCCACGCATCTTTTCAGATGGAGAGCCTCTCAAACAGCCTCCAAAAGCTCCAAAAGTTCCGTTTGCAAAAGAGCTTCTCTTTGCAAAGGCAGCCTCTCAAACGGAGCTTTTGGAGGCTGCAAACTCAGCCTCTTAAACAAAGCTTTTGGAGGGTGAAAAAGCAAGGCGCAGAGGCCAAAATGGCAACCCGGAACAGCTGCTGCCTTGTCAGACCAGTTCCGCACTTCCTCTGCTGTACTCACTGGAGCGCCCTGCGATAATCAGCTGCATTTTTGAAGCTGTGTATCTGCCCCAACGAAGCGCATGTGAGTGTAGCGAGCGCGTGCGCTCACAATCAGAGAACCTGTTGCTAAAGTTCACCTCTGGGAACAGCTGATAGGGGGTATTCCAAGAGGCCAATCCACCCGCCAATCAGCTGCTCGTGCTGAATCAGGCTAATGTGCTGAAGCTGACCAGGCTGTTTGCTAAGGATGCTAACCAGATGAATACCAATGGATGCTGGTAGGCAGAGGCAGATTTTTTTTTTTTCTTATTTTCCTCCCCCAAAACTAAGGTGTGTCTTAGATTCTGAAAAATACGGTAACAGTAGTGGTTGGGCAAGAAGCCGTTTCTAGACAAAGTTGTGTAGAAAAGGGGATTCATTACCTTTGGAGAGATGTTACTGTTCTTTCCTCATCTTCTTAAACAAAATGTTTGCAGTTTGCCATGTTTAGTGAGCAGCAAATTTCAGGTGAAAATACAAATGTTGCTGGGTATGGCAGCAATTGCCTCTATTTTGACCGGGAATAGGAACAACATGAATGAGCTGGAGTAACTGATGAATGGGAGTGCAACAAATAACGGCAACCTCAGTTTGGACAGGCATGCAACAAGTAGCATGTAACATGACATTTGTCTTGAGCTACCTAGTGACAGCTATAATAATCAGTTGTCACTTAGAGGGGAGTTTAGAATAGATTTCTGCCCCAGTTAATACCTTTTGTTATAGGTTAATATTTTGTTTTATGATGGATTAAAGAGAGAAGTGTCTTTCGTCCATCTTTATCAAATGTATGTTTGTATATTGTAGGGTGCAATGTCAGTGGATTCTATTACTGATCTTGATGATAGTCAGTCTCGGTTACTAGAAGCTCTACAGTTATCCTTGCCTGCTGAAGCACAGAACAAGAAAGAAAAATCCAGGGACAAAAAATTAAGCCTCAATCCTATTTACAGGCAAGTTCCTCGCCTTATAGATAGCTGCTGTCAGCATTTAGAAAAACATGGTAAGTATATTTTATCTGAAATGTACACACAGCTTATAGTACAAAGATTTGATTTGGAGTTTGAAAGTAATTTGATTTTGAATTCCTAAACTAAATCAACTTTCCAAATTTGGGCGAATATAAATCAGATGTCAGCAGAAAAATGGAACTGACTCAAAGTGTTGAATTAGATTAATGAATTGAATATGTGCTTATTCAGAGAGCACTAAAAATTATATGGATTCTATTCAATTTTATGCAAGCATAATGATTCAAAATATAGCTTTTATTCCATGAAGGCTGTAAACCCAGTGAAAGGACAATAGTCCTTGACTTATGACCCTAATGGAGTCTCCCAGTTATCATGACAGCCATAAAGTGGGTCACATACTGTATGTGACTGATCAAATTTTACGACCTTTTTGTGGCAGTCATTAAGTGAACACTATGGTTGTTAAAGTGAACACAGCAGTGTAAAGCAAGACTATTGTTCACTATGAGTGTTTTTTGCTGAAAACCAAAAGTAAATGCCAGGTTTTGGCAAAAAATGTCACAAAATGTGTTCACGTGACTGCAAGATGCTGCAAATGGCAGTAAATGCAGACAGGTTACCAAGGGCTCAGCATGCAGTCACATTACCACAGGAAGAGGGCAGCTGTCAGAACTTTGGAACCAGCTTGTAAATTCTTTATAACTTCAAGTGGTGACTAGTTGCAAGTTGAGGACTATTATAGTAACAATTGAATAAAGCAATTTCTACTTCTACTGCGGAATTGGAGAATTTTTGAATATTCTGTTTTTCTGTAGCTGCTGGGAATGACAGTTTTAAAAAACAGAAAATTGTGAAGTGCCACAAATATTTTGGTAAAAATCACAGTCAACTGTTGTATGATGTAGGGATATATTGTATATTGGAAGATAGGCAAGGAAATCAAATTGTTGGCTTTACTTGGTCTAGGAATTTAGCTATAATAAGCCTTCAAACTCCTGCATGCAACTGAGATTAACATTTGAGATGGGATATTAGTAATTTTAATGTAGGTTAGCACACTGTGCTTAAATTCAAAGGAAAATCAACCATTGGTTTACTAATTTGGTCTCTAGTGCTGGAAGGGCTCTGGAAGCTACATACAGCCTGAAAACCAAGGTTAAATATTTCACACCCATGCCTATTTTCATCCTTTCTTATTCCTCTTGTAGAAAATAAGAAAAGAGCTGGTACAAAGAATATTTGTGGGTTTTTCTAACCAAGGGCTATGTGTATTTTTGAATATAGAAATACAAATTCAGGTGAATTCAGGGCTAACATCTTTTTATAAATGTATTATACAATTTTGTATAGTCACCATTGGTCTTAGGCTTCCCTCTAGTGTCACTTTTGAACAATGTACTATATATTTTTTAAAAAAGCTATAATGGTGTACAAGGAGCCTTTACTGAAGTAGATTTCACTGAACACATTTCCTTTTAAATTGTTTGCATATTTTGGATTTATGCTATCTTCTGATAGGGTAGGAATAAGAAACACAAATATTACAATAATTATATACATCATAGTGATGCAAAATAGTTTACTAATGTTCTAACTTTATTGTATATTTATATGCATTTGTGTAAAATTATTATTATTATTATTATTATTATTATTATTATTATTATTATTATAAATTGACATGCCATTTTACAGGTCTCCAGACTGTAGGCATATTCCGAGTTGGGAGTTCAAAAAAAAGGGTAAGACAGGTAAGTTGTTTTCATTCTTCATGAATATCATGAAACTCACTATTTTATATTTATATATTTTGGTCAGTGTCATCTTTCATTATAGTCCTACTCTAAATATGCTATAGTAATATAACCAGGAAAATACCAATATTTTTTAAAATGTGTTTTTTAGATCTGGGATCTTTCATCTATATATTTCCACTAACAATAGTATCTGTCTTTAAAATAATTTTCAAGTTTCTGGAACCTAAATGGTATAAGAAATATAAGGCATCTGAATATCAATTATGTATTATGTTAAAATTACAATCATTTTTTCCCCAAAACATTTTCTTATTTCTATATCAGTCTCAATCAATTTTCCATGCAGTATATTTAAAAGAAACAGGCTGTCCTGATAATTCTTTGAGCTAAGGTGGATTTGCTTCTGTTTCTATGAAACATTTGATTAAATTCATTTTAATATGTCACCAACAAATATTTCAGAGAGAGACATCTCTTACATTTATTTAAATGCTTTATGAAATAATGACTGCAATTTCAAGAGGAATATATTCATGTTATTAGTATTAAATATTAATACAAAATACCATTGCTATTTCTTCCTAACAAATTATTAGTTTAACCATGTAACCATGTAAACGAGAAATAGGAACCAGTTTTTAGATATTTCCTGTAACCATTATGGCCAATGACCAGGAATGTGGGTATTATAACCTACACCACTTTTTGATTTAATTTATCAGGAATAGACTAAAGTCAAAATGACTATATCAAAGAGCTGCTAAGAGCTACAGATAGATTAATAATGTGGTATAAATTAGACTAAAGCATTATTATAATTTATTATTACAGAACTGTTTTGTAATTATTACAAAGGTTTATTATGATTTATTATAAAGATAGGATTTATTCAGAGGTGAATAAGAAATATAAAACAAAAACTTGCATCCTTGTTAAGTCTAGATGATAGAATTCATCTAATATGGTATCAATTTGGAAGAATAACCTTTACTGTTATTTTCTTTTAGTAATCCAATACCACTGGAATATTGAGGTTTTGACAATTCCTAAATTCTTTGTATGCTGAAAATTTTAATTCTGAAATAAGTTCTTTTCTACAGAAAACAATATCATTACATTAATTTGTTCCATGTACAGAGAAAAATGCATATGCCAGACTTGGGAAAGGGTCTGACTACAAGCTAAAGCTATGTCTTCACGTTTTTTAAAAAACTTGTAATATAATCATGTAAACGTTTGACATGATTTCTGTTTCTAGTTACGTGAAGAGTTTGACCGTGGTGTAGATGTAGTACTGGATGAAGAACAAAGCATTCATGATGTAGCAGCTTTACTAAAGGAATTCCTTCGTGATATGCCTGACCCACTCCTGACCAGAGAGCTTTACACTCCTTTTATCAACATACTCTGTGAGCAGTCTGTCTGACTATGTCTGTCTGTCTGTCTACCTATCTGCCTATCTAAATGGTTGATAAACTGCAGCCCTTATAAATCAAAATCAATTTGTGCTTATCTTTATTTAAACTCTGGGCATGTTTCTGATTCCAATGATTCATAATTTATGAGTGGTCGCTTTGTTTATATTTTGACATGGATAAGATTTTAAGATGTCAACTTAAATTGCCTGATATGTCTCAGTGGATTGGTTTCCAAAATTAGATAGGGGATAAAAAACTAGTTAAAATTGTTCATTCTAAAAATCATCTTCATATTGTCTTGTAATAATTTAATGTATAGAATGCTAAAGAGGACTAGGCAATTCAAAATAGTCCATATGTTTTGATCTTTGGATCACATGTATTTTGGTTATGATAATATTATATATAACTCTGCTGAGTCATCACATCTCTCAAAATGTTACATATGGTAGGGTTTTGGCTTTTTTAATACAGTCATGTCCAATTTTCGGAGACTGCCCGGACAAGTACCCGCAGTTTTCTTGGCAAGGTTTTTCAGAAATGGTTTGCCATTGCCTTATTCTGAGGGCTGAGAGAAAGTGGTTGGCACAAGGTATCATCCAGCTTGCATTGTTTCTAAAGCAGGACTAGAATGCATGGTTCCCAGTTTCTAGCCTGATGGTCTTAACCAGCACTCAAAATTGATTCTTAGGTTTTTCTGTACCCCCTCAAATATAATAACTAAATGTTCTAAAACATTTAATTCTTCAGATGTTATATAGCTGTACTAATGAAATGCCTGAAAATATTAAAATGTATTTATTTTTTATTTTTATTTTATTTTATTTTGAATTTGTATACCACCCTTCTCCCTGAGGACTCAGGGCGGTGAACAAGTAAAAACATCAAGTACAAATATTAAAATACAGTTAAAATATATATATATAAATTTGGCCCCATTAATTAAAAACAATAAACAAAACACTTAAAAACACTTTAAAAATTAGGCCAGCCCGGCTTGCTGGAAAAGGAAAGTTTTAAGGGCACAGCGGAAGGCACTGAGGTCTTGGATTCTCCTTATCTCTGGAGGCGATCTCTTTATAGATTAGAACACTGAATTGCTGATAATAGTGTTACACAAAGTAGTGCAATTAATGTGTATTTTAAAAAAAATATTTTTCTTTTTTAGTAATAGACCCCCATGAACAACTAAACACTCTACAACTTCTAATTTATCTTCTACCTCCCTGCAACTGTGACACCTTACATCGACTCCTTCAGTTCTTAGCTACTGTAGCCAGCCATGCAGAAGACAGAAAAAATGAAGATAGCCAGGAAGTAAGTTTATTTCACTGATTTTTATTGTGAAATTAGCATTGCAGTTCACCTTGAAGCAAAATGGATGGCAAGCAAATCAAATAAATAAATAATAACATTTTGATCAGCAATGTGATAAGGAATAATATTAATGAACCATCTTATGAACCAAACTTTGTACTATTTCTAAACAAGCTATTATAATTTAGGTTTAAATCAGAGTATATTTGGTTTTATTAATCGTCACTTGCTTTAATAGACTTAACTATATTTGTATCATTCTCTCTTTTATTCATGCAAAAGGATTATTCCTGCATTCAGAAACTTTTAGAACTTGCAGGTTTGTTGGGAAAAGTACCACCCCTCAAATCCCACATATAACTTGGCTCCTATTGATTCCACTCGGTGGAATGCTCTTTACATATGGCACAAAGTGACTTAAAAAAGGCAGGATCCTAGTCAGGTTAGCTAAACCAAAACCACCTACACAAAGTGCTAGGAATCCATTGCTAGTTAAATAGTACAGCATTTTATTTCTTTTCTTTTTAGATCCCTGGGAACAAAATGACATCACTCAACCTAGCCACCATATTTGGACCTAATCTGTTGCACAAGCAGAAGACAACAGACAAAGAATTTACTGTTCAAAGCACAGCACGTGCTGAGGAGAGTGCTGCCATTATTGCTGTTGTACAGAAGATGATAGAAAACTATGAAATGCTCTTTATGGTAGGTGAAGATTTCCTCTCTCTTTTTGCATTTAGCAGAAGTTTTTATAGAATAATTTTTAGATTAGTCTTAACTTTTTGAAATTGGACACTACATAATAGTGTCTTTTTAACATTTTTAACATTTAAAAATATTCACTCATGAGACAATGTCTGTACAGTGAATAAATAAAATAAGACCATAATAAACAGAATTAAAAATTTGGCATGGTGAACTACTGGTAGCAAACAGATGCTGGTAAAAGAAGGCCCTTGGCTAGTTTGCCATGTGGAAACATAGCTCTTAAAATTTAAAGAAAAAGGAAAGTGCATATGAATTTATTTCTTTATACCTATTTCTTCAAAGAACTTCTGTGTTAAGGCTAATTATGTGTTTATTTCAGTAGGTTTATAGAATAATAGTTCAAAGCTGTTAGATAAGCAGGTAAATCATCAAAATATATTCAAGTTTTCTGTTTATTAAATATGTTCATGTTTTTAATAAAGATTGTATTTCTAGTGCAGGGGTCTGCAACCTTAAACACTCAAACAGCCATTTGGACCCGCTTCCCACAGAAAACAAAACACTGGGAGCCACAAAATCTGGGTGGGCGGGGACAACTCAACATCACTCACTCCCACCCAGTCACATGACACACACCCCAGCCATGCCTACCCAGGTTTTGTGGCTTCAGGTGTTTTCTTTTCTATGGGAAACAGGTATATGTATCTCTGTCCCTCCCCTCTCATCTCTCCCATTTCTCTCTTTCTCCGTCTCCCCTATCTCTTTTTCTCCTTCTCTATCTCCCTCGCCTCCCTCTCATCTCTCACTTTCTCTCTCATCTCTCTTTATCTCCCTTCCTCATCTTCTCTCTTCTCTTTTCCCCCCCTCTCTCTGTCTCCCTTTCTCTCTCTCTCTCTCTTTCTTTCTCTTTTTCTTCTTTTCTCTCTCTCCTTTCCTCCCTCCTCGGGCGCCCCCGAAGACACTTGGCAGGCAAAGTACGGGACGACCTCCCGCCCCCCATCACCAAGGCAGCGTTGGCTGAATCCTTGCAAAACTGGGCAAATGCGGAGAGAGGAGAGCAGACAGAGCTGAATTGAGCCAAATCTGTCTCTCTCTGTCTGTCTCTCTCGCTGCCTGACTGCAGCAGGAAACAGCGGGCAGCTGCTTTCGGTTTTGTTGATGCTGGACACCCTCTGCCGAGAGAGAGGGGGGGGAGAGGGAGAGAGAGAGTTGCCAGGGGTGAGTGGGCAGGGAATGGGCTTCAGGAGGAGGAGGGGACCCAGTCTCTCCCATTGTGAAGCATGCTTTCACTGTGCTGCGCAAGGCACTGCGAGAGCAGCAGGCAGGTCATGGAGGGGATATTGGGTCTTCCCCTCACCCCACTCCAAAAGGAAAGCCAGTTAGGCTTCTCTGAAGCCTTCCTGTCCCTGCTCCCTTCCCCCTACCCCTCCATCCCACTTTGGGACAGAGGAGCGCGCACTGAAAACGCATGTTGGGGTGACCCTCTGGTGCTCAGCCTGCAACTCTCCGCCCTCCTCCAGGCCCAGCTTGCTGAGGAGGGGGGGAAGCAGCCCTAATGCTTCCACTACCCACCCCTCACAATCCCAGCCATCGCTTCCCAGCTTCCTCAAAGGTGCAGCAAATTTCAAAGGTGGCAGCTCGCGTTGGAGGTGCCAAACAGCGGGACAGCTGAGAGAGCCGGACCAGGCCTCTCCACCGTCCGACTCACCAATGGGGGTGCTTCTGCCGGACAGCTACCCCCCACTGGGCTTTTGTGCTCGGCAGTCAGCCAATGAGGGGAGCGCTTCCCCACGCTGCCCCCTTCTTTCTCTTGGCCCTGCCGACAAGCGAGGAGGAAGGCCAAGTTTGGGGGATGGCCCCCACCCAGCAAAATCTGCCCCTGCCGTTATCTCCCAGCCCTCTTTGCTGGCGGCAACAGCAAATATACCAGGCGAAATCCTGTTGCCGCACAAAGGCAAGACAGGGCAGCAGCTCTTTTATCCCTCTGCCGCAACAGGGCCACAGGGAGCTGCAGCAGAGGGGTGAAAGAGCTGCATGTGGCTCTAGAGATGCAAGTTGCTGACACCCGTTCTAGTGTAATGGTATTTCCCCGTTATTAAAATTTACCGGTAGATTGCATAAGATAGCACATGTATAAATACTATACCTGCTGTATCAGAACATGACTCAATAATTCCCATAATCCTCTCAGGAATATTTTGCATAGTCATCTATCTATCTATCTATCTATCTATCTATCTATCTATCTATCTATCTATCTATCTATCTCTACCTACCTACCTACCTACCTACCTACCTACCTACCTACCTACGATCTATTATCTATCTATCACATTTTTCCACTGGCCATCTCCTTCAAACGGATTCTGGGCGGTGTACAATAAAACATTAAAATAAATAAACAGTATTTAAAAATTAAAAGTTTATAATTAAAATTTTGGAAAGTGGCAAAAATAATTAAAGGCTGTTAAAAAGAATAGAGTTCTCTCTCTCTCCCTCTCCCTCCCTAGGACGAATACAATATAATTTCAATTTTCTTAAGATTTAAAAACTTGTGGATACTTTCAAAGACAGAAAATGGTTTTGAATTATGTTAATATTTGTAAGAATATAGTATTTTATTAATGAGGATATGTACAGGTGACTATGTTTCATGTATTTGTTTATCATTTGTGTATATATTTACCTTATACATGGGGAAAGGAATTAATTAGTCTGGCCATTTCATTTATAATAGATTCATTCTCTTATCTTTTTCTCACTTCATTTTTAACTTGAAATCTAAAAAGAATTGCATCAAATTTGTTTGCCTATTTCATATAGTAATTACCAGATAAATAATCTTGTAGCTCTTCGAAAGGCAAGCTAAGTGGCTTGTTGGATTATAAAATATTTATTTTATAAATAAAATATGATAAGTGATTAAAGATAATGGAAAGTATATTTTAAAAAAGGTGAAGTGTTTTGTATGTTATTTAACTGGACCAGATTATATTAGATTTGTGATTATATTAATTCATATTTTAAAATAGAGGTGTATAATTTTGCTATTTGCTTTTTGATGTTTCATTAATGTATAGGTCCCAGCAGACCTTCAAAACGAAGTTCTAATTAGTCTGCTTGAGACTGATCCAGATGTTGTAGACTATTTGCTGAGAAGGAAAGCTTCCCAGTTATCGTGAGTAATTTGTTAATTTTCTTTTATTTGCCTCCATTGGGGAAATGTTTATCATAATTTACCATATTTTATCATAGTAGTCCAAAGTCTTATTTCAAAACCCCTGGCATATTTTTTTAAATAGCAACTATGAATAATGTTAACCATTATGAAGTTAAATTACTGTATTTTTCAGAGTATAAGACGCACCTACCTTTTTTGTTTGGTTTGGTTTTTATAAAAAGTTTTTTTAATTTTTTAGACAAACACACATACAAACATACAATGTATTTTCTTTGAACAGAGTATTTGGCCAGTTCACAAATTTAAACAGTGTTTAGTCATTTCAATTAAATTTACAATTTCTATATTTCCTTTTTGCCATATTTATTCCTCATCTATTTTTGAAAAAAACCAATATTACTCTTCAGCCTCATTTCTAATCTTAATCAAATTAAATTTTTCCTTTCTATTCTATATTTTACCCCTTTCCATTGTCATCTATTTTTATATCCATCCTCACATTGATTAATTATGTAATATTACAATTGTTTAATACAAATTCAACATTTTAATATAAATCAATTAGTTATATAACTATCTTTTTTTTGTACATTAATACAATATGAACATGAATATTCCAATTATTTCCATGCAATCCAATTTCTTACAAATCAATTAATTATATTTACCAATAATAATAAACCAAATAATTTTCCCAGTATATTCCTCCAAACCACAATTTAACCATTTCTGCTTTCAACACAATATACAATTAATAGTATCTCAATTATTACAATTCCCTAGTTAAATAGAGCTTTTCTCTTATGTTACTCATTTTCACATCTTAAACTCTCCCAATAACCCAAATAGTTTTGCCCATATAATTCTCCAAATCACAACTTAATCATTTCTACTTTCATTACAATATATAATTAAAAATATTTCAATCGTTACAATTTTCCTAATTAAATTTAAAAATGTTCTAGCTGTTATCCAAGCTACATCTTAATCCTTTTTACTTTCACCACCATATACCATTAAAGGTATTTCAATTGTTACAGTTTATACTTATTCATATTTCTAAAAAAAATTAAAAAAAGAAAAACCATTGTCTAGATTTCAAAAATACAAAGACAAATATTCCAATTATTATTCATTTCATTTTTACAATCATGATTTCCCATTTATTTCTTACTACTATTCATATTTCAATTCTAAATATGTATAACATCTTTCTCTTTCATTTCTTTTTCTTTTTCTCCCTTCCCATTTTTATTTTTGCCTTTTTCTTTCTCCTTTTTTTCTTTTGTGTTTTAAAATCTTGAACTCTCCTCTTTTGCCCTAAATTTCCCATTGTTTGCACCTACCTTTTTTGGTAAGGAAAAAGAAGAAAAAATATCTCCCTCTGCCTCTGAGCAATTTTGCCTCTTACAGCAAACAGCCTGCTTTACTTTCATTTTCGTTTTCAGCATAGCTTGATTAGCACAAGGGGAAAAAAATCTGCTCCAGCAATTTACCTCTTTGCAGCAAGCAGCAGAACTCTGCGCAAAACAGCTGAGAGCAAATCAGCTGAGAGTCAGGAGGCCAATCCAATCAACTTGTGCTAATTAGGTTGTGCTGAAGCTGAAAGGAGCTGTTTTTTCTTGCTGTTTGCTTGCAAGGAGGTAACTGTTGCGAGGCAGGGGCCAGTGGGTGGGCAGGGCTACATTCGGTATATAAGACGCACCTAAATTTTCACCCCCTTTTAGGGGGGAAAAGGGTGCGTCTTATACTCTGAAAAATATGGCATCTACCTTTTTTATAAAATGCTAGTAATTAAAACTTTTATAATTAATACCTTTAGAACAATCCTTTAATGATTTTTATATGAATATCTTAATTTCCAAGCCTGTTTTAATAAAATTAACTTTAGTTAAATGTCCAAGATTGTCCAAAGCTTTTTGTGCTCCATCTGCGTTAAAACCTGGGTTCATACATCATGGCAAAGGTGTCTGCAGTTAGAACTTTCTGGGCTGATGGTACATCTAAGATTTACATTGTAATAGAATTTTAAATAAACTATTAAATAGAAGGTTAGCATGTTGCTAAGAATTGAACTCCAGCATTTATTTCTAAAAATGGTTCTGGGTCCCACAAAGAGCAAAGAAGCATTTTACGTAGTCACTAAAAATGATAGCCAGACTGCAGCAGAGTGCTATGTTGGGATGTGTGCCTATCTGTCTAGAAAAGCAACCAACTCAAACTGAGACAGTAGACTATGTCCTGGAAAGCTGTGTGAAGTGACACCTTAACAGTGTGACTTTCAGTCAATGTTTTGTATTTGGTACTGTCCATGATAATATGCCATTTGTGAAAATGCTTCTAAATGTTTTTACAATTCAAAATGAACCCAACACTTGGGAATCTCTGTTAATGAACTTAAGCTCCATTCTTCTACCTTTTATAACTATGATATAGCTATGAGGGCATAGAAATCCAGTGGGTGAGATCTTTTCTCTTTCTCAAAAATATCTCTTAAAAGTTTATTCCTATTCAAGCCTAAAATATCTGCTCATATTGCTTAGTTTAAGAATGTTTAATAATAGAACTGCTCAAATCTATATAGAGCCTCACCAAACAAGAGAAATCAATTAGATAATAGGACTTTGGTGTCTTATTCTAGCAAATGATAATTGACAGATATAGCCATCTGATATTGGGAATAGTGTCCTTATTTTCTATGTTCAACTTTGCCTTAGTACGAAAAAATATGTGCACCATGGCTGCTTTGTATGCTTATTATTTTATTCTACTTTGGAAATGAAAGATGACATGTTACTTCTTTAAGCCCTGATCCCTTATTTATTCTTAAGTCATCATTTAAATCTCCTGAGAAGAAATATATCTTTTCAACATTTTCCAATAAATCATTGGAAACCATTTATTTTAATTCACAGTTGATAGAACAGTAATTGTGCTGCTTGAAAATGACAGAATTGTCACTTTAGTTTTGTTCTCCTCTTAGATGCCTAATTAATATTGAAGTGCCCAGGAATCATTTTTATATGTTTTGATACTAGCATGTTTCCAGCTGTAACTGCGAAGTCATGGGAAAGAATTTGTCTAAAAGATTAGAGGGACAATTTATTCATCATGAAAAGAAAATGACACTCATAGGACACATCCTTTTTTCTGTGTCAATCTGGAGAGACGACTACATATTCACTGGACTATTTTTCCTGATAAGCTGGAACCAAAAAAATGAGATACACATGTCTTGGGACCATCTTAATATTCTTGATAATGGATTTCAAATCTTGACATGAAAAACTATAATTCTGCAATGAGAAGTAAGCACATGTCCACCAGTAATTGGTCACATAGCAAACTTCAGTTGCTACATGTAAAATGGGCATAGTGTCTTTCTACGTAAACATTTCTCTTGATCAAAACACTTTCTTGAATCTACTTTTGCTAATAATTTCACCACTTCACTGTTTTTCCTTTTAACTGGAAGATTATCTGCTCAGTCACAATGAAACAGTACAACATTATATAACACTGCTTGCTACTAACAGTACAATGCTGATAGCCTACTTCTAGAGTCTTCTTATCGTTTCTAATATGACTGGATTTGTCAGGAATTCATCGCTAACTCCATACTAATCTAAAATTAAACCATCATTTGAAAATGAGACCAAGGTTCTTGCTGTGAAGGATCTCTTGTTAAATCCTAAATAGAGCATGGAGTGGCCAGTTTAAATTCTCAATCAGGGAATATTTCTGAGAAAAAACTATAATGTTCAACATTTACTCAAGGTAAGGTATAATTTGAAAGCTTTTATGAAGTTTTATTTTATTAAAAGCAGTATTTAAATGGACTGTCCTTTGTTCTATGGTTATTGTTTGTTGCAGTTACCTTTTTTCATTCTATTTGCTCAATTCATTATATTGTACTCAATAATGTACAAAACATTCCAATGTTATATTCAGACTTGCAGTATGTTCTTAAAGCTTTCTTTTTTTAATTAGAATCTTGGATATCATTGTCTTGGATATAATATAACAGTAATTTCACCTATATTGCGTTGAATCCCATCCTATAATTGTTTGCTATTAAGGCAGTTATCTTCTGAAATTTTTAGTTTGTTCAGATATACTGTACTTTACATGGACTAAGTTTTATTAACTCCTGTTTATGTTTCGTTTTATCAGAAGCCCTGAAATGCTTCAGTCTGAAAGATCATTCTCCATAGAAGGTAGACATTCATCCATAGACTCAAACCGAACCTCAAGTGGCGATATATCACCATATGACAACAACTCTCCAGTGCTGTCTGAAAGATCTGTTTTGGCAATGCAAGAAGATATGTCCCTTACTTCTGATAAGTTACATAAAGTACCAGAACAGAGCACATTAGGTAGCAATTTTCAGCCAAAATCAAAAGAGAATTCCTTTGGTTTGATCAGCATATACCATAACTATAAGCATTCATTGGTTCTAATATCATTGTGAATAATCTTTTATAGTAAAATTATTTTTATTGTAAATATTGTTTTTCTTAGTGAATTGATTTCCTTAACAGAATAGAGTCAGACTGTTAAGGTTGGACAGATATAGTTTATCAATTTAAATTGCAATTCCTAACAGCGAATTTCTGATTTTAATTTAAAGATTGTCTGAGAAAATATTTTTTGAAAATGTTTGATAAGATTTTATTAATATCCAAACAATATCTGCATTCAGGTGAAAAGACTCTTTATACAGAATTCAGTAATTCAGAAGTGCAGAGTTTGTATATCAATTCAGATGTACAAAGTCAACTCACCTGTGAATACAAAATTCATTCCATGGATTGTTAAACTAGAATTATAATGACATACTGTAATTATGTCTGTGATTAAGTCATAGTTTTAGTGTTCTACTATATGAACATCTCAATATTTAACCTGCATAATATCAGTGCAGAAATTCAAAACATTTTAAAAAATGAAATCAGTTCTAATTCTTTGCAAATAATTTGAATTATAAGTATTGTACTATCTTGAATTTTATCTTTGAATTTTTGAAAATCACATCTTTTATTTTCCAATTGAGGAATGTTTGGGCCAGAAACAATCACAGGATGAAAAATTTTGTGAACCTAAAGAAAATTATTTTGCTTAAAAGGGGGTCCCAATATTTCATGCTCCTTTTTCATCTGAGAGTTTTAATGAGTCATTCACATGGGGATCTAGTGCCCACATTGTAAATAAATCCACTGAGGTAGCAAAAGCTCTTGACATTAAACTAAAACATTGTTTAGATCCTAGCTGTTGTTTCTGTTCTTAGGTTATCACCCATTAAGATTTTAGCTTGATATCAAAAGCTTTGGCTACCTCTGGCTGCCTTGTCTTCTTGTGGTGAAAGTAAATTGCAATTTTATTATATGCTGATAATAATAGTGTTTCTGTCACAAATGTCAGTTGGACTGAAATGAGGGCTGCATGTCCTAACCATTAATTGTTCTCAGGAAGTACTTGAAATTAGATATACTAAAACTAAGGTCTTCTTTTTAGCAAAATAACCCAGGATCCCTAACCTGATTAATCAAAATCTTTAAACATCTACCCAACCCACTAGAGCAGGGAGGCAAGGAATGTTGCAGGTCCCATTCCCTAAAGAGATACATCTGTTGGGACCCAGAAGAAGAGCCTTCTCCGTGGTGGCTCCCTCTGTCTGGAACATCATTCCGCCTCTCCCGCCCCCGAGAGATTAGACTGGTCCCTTCTCTAACACTCTTTTGGAAGGCCCTGAAGAAGTGGTTCTGTCAGCGGGCCTGGGGAACTCAGAGCAGGATGGAGCCCATTAAATGACTAGTGTGAATGTATGTTGTCGCCAGGGTGTGGAGGTTGTTATTTTATTATTTTTCTTTTTATTATTTTTCTTTGTTTTATATGGTGCTTTTGTGTCCTTGTAAACCACCTTGAGTCACCATTGTGAGTAGGCAGCAACATAAATTTTCTAAATAAATACATCAACCAACCAACCAACCACATAGACAATTAAAAGAGCTACAAAGGAGACAAAATTACTAGAACACAGTAGCCTACACCCAAAGAAGCAGGGATTAGCATCAGACAACAAGCAAAAAACAATACCATAATCAAGGAATTACCATGGAGAAAGCTACACTCTGATTAATACTGATGATGTTACCTAGTTGGATAAAGAAACAACTGCAAGCAAACAACAAACTCAGAGCACCAAGGACTCCCCATTTGTATTGATGCCCAGCTAAATTTGTTGGGGTTTTTTTCCCTAGAGAGTCTAGGCAGATAATTATAAATTAATGAAGAAAAGGACAGCCCTGAAAAAAAGTACAAAATTGTGGACTCATAAGAGCAGCCAACCTGATAAAGAGATAGGGTTGAACGTTTCCTGCATTCAAATGGTTTGATTTGAAATGATTTGAAAACTCATTTGGAACAGTCCGACTTAATCAAAGTAGTCAGTCCCCATTTTTTTAGGTTACCAATTTCTTTATTCTATTCAATTGTGTCCAGTGCTATGTACTCCAAAGAGTACCAAAATCAGAACAGCTGTCCTCAAGGGGAAATATTTAAAATTCCTTAGGACTTAACTTTGTGTCTTTGTGAAAAAGGAGATATTGAGTGCATATGTCATGGCCTTTTACATTGCACCTTCTATAAGGAAACAAGGGATCCCTTTTATCCCTCAGATAGGTCTGATTTATGTTTTTATTTTGCTACATTTGAAATAATTATTTTAACTATTTTGCTAACTGACAGAATTCTGGTAGGTGACTGTAACAAAGAATACTACCAATACCAGAGAATATATGTAAATTAGGATTGAACTGTTAGGCTCTTGGTTGTTCTCTCAGTTTGATAGTTTCTATTGGGTGTCGTTTCTTTCTTGATAATTCTTTAAAAATACACTTATTAAGGAAGATATCCTCCCACACCAAGACTAGAAGTACAAGATGCTTCAGTCCCCTATATACTGATGATGTTACCTAGCATAGTACAGCTGCAGAAAAACAGCTAATTTCAGAGAACACTGAGAGCCCAAAGATTTTCACTACTGCTACTTCTTTCTAATATATATCTGTTAAATGTTAGGATCACCTACATTCATATTCCTTCTAATCTTATAGATGTGTCAGACGACTATTTCAGCATCTGGGGCACCTGGCATTCAACTCTAAAAAGTGGTTCCAAAGGGCTGGGAATGACAGGTATACATATTGTTTCTGTTTCTATGCATCAAATAATTATCTGATTTGACTATTCATACATTAGTGCTATTTCATTATAGTATTGTGCTAGAAGAGGACTACTAACTCTCTTTCTCCAAAAGCTATCGATTTTATAAAGCATATGGTTCAGTAAACTATAGTTTACAAAACTTTACACCACATTAAACATTTTTTGTTTTGAGTGTCACAGGAGTTTCCACAACAATTTTTTTGCAAACTTTCAGATATTACGATATTCAATTCAAGGCACAACTATCTGTAGAATATTTTGCAATATAGAGCAGGACTAAATGAAAATGTGTCTGCATATGTGAGTAATCAATAGTAATTCTAGATATCACTCCCAAGCCTGATGTAAGATCCCAATGCCCATGTCATTGTAGATTATCTCAAAAACAATGTTGATTTGCTTTATTATTGATCATTCTCTGTGGTTTTTTAGGGTCATATGGAGACATCTATGAGAGCAGCTCCTTGCGGCCAGGGCAGTGTTCCCTTTCTCAAGGGAGCCTATCATTGTCTTCTCAGTGGCAAGAAAACAATACAGAGCTAGACAATGAAAAACAAGTCATCCGGAGGAGTCAGACAACAACTGCCCTTCCTGGTTGCCATTCGCATCCCCCTCTGTCTCAAGTGTACAGCACCCCACAGATTGAAGTAGGTAGAAAGAATTCCAGCCAGTCCAATTCACCTGTAAGATATACAGAGAACTTGATGGAGCATGACTCAGATGCAACTTGTCCACATGCTACATTTAAGCCATCATCTCTAAGGCAAGCTGAAGTAATTCGAAAAGACAGACCACCACCTCCTTACCCTGAAACAGCAAAACAAAGCAGCTTATCATCCCTCCAGCCAGCAGTGTCTTCTACAGGGTATCCATTGTGGAAGCTTCAGAAGACAGACTTGTCTGGGGCCCAGGGAATGAGGATCATGACTCAGGTGCCTGAACAACCTATCCAGCATGAGGAGCAACAGAACCAAAATGAAAGAAAGTACTCCTTTCCAGACAGTGAGCAGAACAGTAAAAATTTGTCAGAGACAGACTGGCACGGGTGGCAAAGCGATCGATGGCAAATTTGGGAGATTTTATCACCTGATAATCCAGATGCACTCCCTGAAACTTTAGTATGAGTGAAGAAATCAGCAGGTCTTTTCCAAGTAGGGAAAACGGTGGACTGGATTTATACTGAATTATTTTTTAAAGATACGTTTACTTTATGGAGTATTTTAAAATTAAATTTATTAAAAGAATTTTTATAGCCGTGTAAAATTTAGGGACACGTTTTTGGGATTTTGTAGAAGGAAATGTGAGGTGGCAATTTCAGTCCAAACTACTCTGTAAAATATAAGCTATGTACACAATAAAAATGACCCTCTTGGTGTTGCTAAGATACATTTATGTATCTGCAGCTCAAATGACTGTATATTATGCAGATGTTTTGTGTACAATAGCATTGTGTTTATATGCAAAAAATAATCTTGAATGCTTTTTTGAAATTATATTTTAATCATGCACTACTATTAATATACAATATATTGATATCGTTGGAAATGCACAAACTGGTTTCTGTGCTTTTAAGTAATCTGTGAAAGACATATATTTTCACTGACAAATAAGGTGGAATGAGAACATTAAAAGCCATATATTTTATAATAAGGAAGTTAAAGAATATCTAATATACTATTTGCTTGCAAGGAAAAATTAATGAACATATATTTTTATTCTTTTAGATAGCAATTCCAATCACCTCTTCATAATTATGTCCATGTCTACACCATATACAAAGATTCTTCTACCCATTCCACATTAGGCTTATAAAAATTTGGCATGGGTGAGGAAGTACAGGAGAGGGTGTTTATTAAGTTATGTTAAGACTACGTGACAGACCCTTTGGAATTTTCAATATTTCTGGATAAATATGAACTAAAATGTGATCTGCTTTCACAAGTCCTAAAACTAGATAAAAAGAACCCAATTAAATAAATGACCCCAAAACCCTAACCTTTATATATTTATTAAGGAAAATTATTCAAAGCTATATATTTGTGTATTGTAAAACTAAGTGAACTTTTGTGTTTCAGTAAATTGGGTGCCCCTGTTGGAGAACAAAAACAGCAACTAAATGTTTCCAATAACTGTTGATCCTGCATTGGCTTGGAGGAATTCTAGCTCATTCCTCCTTAGAGAATACCTTTAGCTCAAGGATGGTAAGCTTCTTTGCATAAATAGTCCAGTCAGGTTCTTCCACAACCCTTCCATAGAATTACAGTCAGGAATTTGACTTAGCCATTCCAATCTTTAACTTTCTTTTTTAACCATTCTTTGTTTCTACAACTTGAGTATTTGTGGTCATTATCTTGCTGCATGACCCATTGTTTCTGAGCTTCAGTTTATGGACAATATCCTCCTATTTTCCTGAAGAATTTGCTGATACAATTCAGAATTCCATCAGTGATGGTACACTATCTTGGTCCATAAGGTACAAAGGAGGCTCAAATCATGATACTGCCACTATTATGATTTACAGATAAGTTTCTTACATTATAACAATAATAATAGTATTTGCCAAACATAATGCTTTTCAATCAAGCCCAAAAGTTCTATTTTGGTCTCACCATTCCATAAAACATTCTTTCAATAGACTTCTGGCTTATCTACCCTGTTTCCCCCAAAATAAGACATCCCCTGATAATAAGCCCAATCGGGCTTTTGAGCGCATGGCAATAAGGCCAAGCGCTTATTTCATGGTTCAAAAAAATATAAGACGGGGTCTTATTTTCGGGGAAACACGGTATGTGTCTTTTGCAAATTTTAGATAGCAATAGCACTTAGATCAGGAGTGTCAAACTCAAGGCCTGCAGGCCAGATCTGGTCTGCGGGATGCTTAGATCTGGCCCATGGGGCCACCCTGGAAACAGCGAAGGACCAGCTTGCGGTGCCTCTGCCAGCAAAAACAGAGCTTGGGAGGGCCACGCACAGCCTGCCTGGGCTCCATTTTCAGCTACAACAGCCTCCTGCAGCCCTCTGCCAGCAAAAATGGAGGTCAGATAGGCCGACCTCCGTTTTCGCTGGCAGAGGGCTGCAGGAGCCATCACGGTTGAAAACAGTAATGTTGAGTTGGTCACGCTCACCCTGGCCATACCCACGCCCCCCGAAGTCAAACACAACCCTGATGCGGCCCTCAATGAAATCGAATTTGACACCTCTGACCTATATATTGCTTCTCAGCCCTCTCTAAGTGGTTTATAGAGTCAGCATATTGCCCCCAACAATTTGGATCCTCATCTTACCAACCTCAGAAGGATGGAAGGCTGAATCAACCTTCAGCTGGTGAGAATCGAACTGCCAAACTGCAGTCAGCCAGCAGTCAGCAGAAGGAGCCTGCAGTACTGCATTTTAACCACTGCACTACCATGGCTCGATGAGATGAGCAGCAATGTCAGCTTTGTTTTTTATATCTCTCCCTTGTATGAGTAATGATAACTTACCCATAACTTCTACATACCCATAATCGTGTACTGTAAATAAGGAAGGACCTCCCACACTCACACTTGATTATCATCCCATGGATTGAAACACCTGGTTCTTAATTTCCCCATCAAATGAACATATAATTCTAAAGGTTCATATACATATTTTGAATCATTCTCCAATAAACAAATGAACAAGTATAATACTTTGACTCATTCATTTAATTGTGTTCTTTTACCTACAGTAGTTTTAGGATTTGGAAAATGTTTTAGGACATATCTATGCAGAAATATTAAAAATTCAGAAGAGTTCACAAACTTTTAAGCACCACTGTACTGTATGTTTTTATATGTATTCATTGGACCTGGCATTCTGGCAATTAACTAAAATATTTTCCTTTTTAAACCAACACAGTTTTCAGTATTCACAATTCCTAAAATATTGACAAAATTCCACAAGATGATTCCAGTGCAATGTTGTATTTGTTAAATGTTAATATTCTGTGGTTTTAAAAGTTTTATTATCATTCAGCATGGGAAAGGTCCACCTATTACATTCTTTTATTATAAAAATGCTTTCCTTAAATTTCAGTGGAATTTTATCTAGTGGTGTCTTTTAACTTATATCTTGTGCAATAGAATAAAAGTCTTGCAGAAAACTTTGTTTCTATTTATTGAGTAAACATTTTGTGCATATAATCCATGAAAAGTAAGCACTGTAAACAGTAGCACATAATTGCTATTTGAAGGGTTGAAGTAATTGAAAGTTTTCACTTAAGGGACCATTTCATTGGAAACTCCATGTGTAGGTGTTTCCATGTGAAGAGCAGAATAGAGAACTGGCATGCTTCTTTCTATTTACTAAATGGGCATGAACTGATCTCTTTGGGCTCTTGCTTTCTGTTTCCAAAACAATAAAGTTATAAATAAACTAAAGTTATAGAATAATTACATGCATCCATAATGCATCATCACACCTCAAAAATTTGCAGCATCAAATAAGTAATTAGGAATTCTGTTTCAAGCCTCATCCAGCCAAGTGAGATCTGTATCCTTGTAAGCACAATTAGTTCTATTTTACAATTCCATACCAGCAATGGAAATAGGCATGCTGTGAATGGGTGTAATTAAACTCTTCAGAGATAAGGTTGGGAATTACCTATTTTGTGAAGTGCAGATTTGCAGCTATATCAATGTGACTGAAATGTGTCCAGTCAACAAATTCCAAGGTGTTATTTCACATGCCCAGATGTGCCTGCAATTCTTTATTAAAACTAGAAAGAGGCCTGAGTTTATTAGAAACCTGACATTTGAGATCACAGTAGTCTTTTGGAAAATCCTTTAGATTATTTGGCTCATATAATAACTTTATGCCATTATGGTCAATTGAAATAGAATCCAATTTAAGATTCTGAACTTTCCATACAATATCTTGTCTTGGATATAAAATAGCTCAGTCAGAAATAAAGCATCAGATTATAGGTAATAACAGTTTGTTCAATGACAAGTGACAATGGTGATGAAGTGACAATAGTGATGAAGTGACAATGGTGATGAAAAAGAAGATTTATAATCAATTTGTGAATTTGCAGCTATCGCAGCATCCCACAATCATGATCACAATTTGGATGCTTAACAATCAGTGCATTTATGATGGTTGCAGCATCTTTCACATGATCACCATTTATGTCCTTCACATGGCTGTGATTTGTGATTTTTTGCCAGCTTCCCCATTAACTTTGCTTGGCTCCCAACAAGCAAAGTCAATGTGGAAGCTGGCAGGAAATCACAAGTCACAGCTATATGACATTGTGTTTAATGACTGCAGTTGGAACTGACATAAGTGGGGCATTATTGTGTGATGATTCACTTTTTAACCACATTGCTTAGCAGTGGAGTTACCAGTCCCAATTGTGATTAGTAAGGAAGACTACCTGTATTGACCTAGATTTACAAAAGGATCTAAGCTTTGTTCCACAAATACTACAGTTAATGAATACAAGGGAGAGCAATTCACAGGAACCATTTTTTTGTCTGACACAAAAGAGTTTTGTTTTCTTTCAGGCTTTATAGAAAGTAAATTCCATAGCCTTCAAGACAAGGTCATTTAAACTTAAATTCTTTAGAAATAATCAAATTCACAATATTTTATTTGCTGCTCCTTTCATATAAATAAAGATCTAATGATACTTATTTTAACTCCAGCATATACATTTGAACTTGTTTTCTCCCACTTAGGAGACACTTCAAAAATGACTTCCAGAAGCTAAATTTCAGTCCATTGCTATTGTTGTTAGTTGTAAAATGGATGCGTCACTCCTGTTTAAAATTTAAGGGCCCAGGTAGAATTTTATTTTTTTGTTACGGTTTTGGAGTTTGTTTAAAGTTTAGTGGCAGCAAATAATTTTATATTTATTATTTATGCCTGTCTCCTTACAGCTATCACTTCAGTAATCAAAAGTTTAAAACCCTTTACTGTACCTGTATTTAATAATAGTTATTTGTTTTGATAATTCTTGCATTAGTCTTAGGTATTTTTAGTGGTTTTCATATTTTGTCCATTATGTTTTACTTAATTATTGTAAAAATGTACTATTATAAGAAAATATTCTGATTGAAATCCAAACTTTTTGTTGCAAAAGCTTGACACTTATTTTCATCTTTCTAAATATTTTTATTTATTTATTAAGTTTTTTTGCTGCCCATCTCACCATGAGGTGACTCTGGGTAGTTTATATTGTTTATTGTCTTAATTTCAGAGATGGAATTAAGAGGCTAAGAATCTGTTTTCAAAGTATCTCACTTAAAATAGATTGCTAAGAAAGGCTTCCTTTTTTCCCTTCATTTAATGATTTCCTGCTATACTATAGATGTTATACAGCAGCATTGAGCCTAAGGATTGATTGTCTTCAACCAATGAGCAGATTACAGGTAGAACTCACTTAGTGACAACTCCTTCGATGACATAAATTAAAACAGTACTGAGCAACTTTGTTATAGAGATATCCTTAAAGCTTATGTACTTGTGTTTCAGGTTAAGATTAAAAAAAAAATTGTGTTTTATATTATGTAATGGATAACATCAGTAGTCTGAATAAAACATGGTTGAGCTGATCATGAGCTGTTCTCTCTTTGCAAATCAACAATATTTTGCATAAAATGATTTTCTATTTCAGGCATAAGTAGCCTTTTCTCTTGATTCAGTAATACAAAAAAAACTATTAAAGATACCTGCTAGTTTCAAAACAGAAAACATTTTTAAGTCATTTTTCCCCAAAATCCTAAGCCCAAAATGTTTCTTTTTTTTTTTTGATGGCCTTTCTTACCAAAATTATATGCATCAGTTGCTAAGTCTCATGAATGTGTTAAAGTGAGTGGGAAGGCTACTATCCATCTATTCACCATCCAAACTGAATATCAAAGAGTTTTTTTATAATGACAAGAGTAATGGAATCCATTAGTCTATAACGGGTGTCAAATTCAAGGCCTATGGACCAGATCCAGTCTGTGGGGTGCTTAGATATGGCACATGGGGCCGTCTGGGACTGGTCCATGGTCCATTTTCCAAAAATGTCCCTCACGGCCTGTTTTCAACTGGCAGAGTGCTGCAGGAGGCAGTGGAGGCCAAAAACAGGCTGCGGGGGGCATGCATTCCCCCCCGTGCCCCATTTTGGCCAGCAGAGGCACCACAGGCCAGTCCTTTGATATTTCCAGGCCAGTCCCACGGGTAGGAGGCAGAGTCCTGCAGGAGGCAGCACCTTCTTCATCTTCTGTTTAGTAGCATCTGCCAACTATAACTAGGTACCCTCCAAGATTTGGATGGCTGTTGTTCAGAAGAGCCAAAAAATCTGGCTCTTCATCCAGGTCTTTGCTGAGAGAGAGTGAGCCCCCTCGTATCATTGAGTTTGTTATCTTTTATCTTTAACTTTTACCTGTGATTGATTTAATTGTAAATTTTTTGATCGTTGTGAGCCATCCAGGGTCATTGAGAATTGGATGGTATATCAATTTTATAAATTATTACTAATATTAAGTCCACCTCTAGGGCTGTGTCAGAGGTAGTAACAAAGATTGATAAGACTGTTGGACAGACAGTTTTTAGAAACATCTGGAGAAATTGTCAGTTCATTTATGCTCTGTTCCTATACAAAAGAGTCAAGCCCCAAAGCAGCAGGGGACACTACATGTCTTTAATCTTTACATTATGGAATTGAGACTATTTGTGCCAGAAAGTAAATCTCCCTTTGTCTGGAATAGCTGTTTTGAATGCAAAGGGGAAAAAATGCATATTGAGCCTGTGTCAAATGCCCACCATGGCCATGCCCACCCTGACCATGCTCACTCCCATCCATGCCCAATCCCATCCCCCGGCCCTCCAAAGCCAAACACAACCCTGATGCGGCCCTCAATGAAATTGAATTTGACACCCCTGGTCTATAAGAAAAACAGCCCACCGGTAAGAATGCTTAAAGCGTGGAAGGCATGGCTGATGTTGCAGCGATACAACACGTCCTCCGGGGCTCTAGACTGTGCCAAAATCCAAACTGCTGGGAGGTCGGGACGGACCAAAAATCACCTTGGAGGGGTGATGAATAAAGAGAGTACACTCCACTGATCTCAGGGAGCCCGCAATCTCCCTGATTGATCTGGAGAAGGCTCTCAAACCCGATGGAAAGGAAAAGATGGCCATTATGTGCCAGACTGAAGCTGTGACAGCCACTGGAAGGAAGCATGGAAGATTGAATGACAGTGTGATCAATCTGGGTGAGAGATTTCCAACTTTGAATTTTTAACTTTAATGGAAGGAAGAGCCCGCTGAAAAACATCTGGGTGAAAGTAGAACCCAAAAGGAAGAGGTGGAATTGTTTTTTCTTCTCCACCTCCTGAGAAAAGTGGTGAGGAAAGCCTAAGAGCCATTTTTAAAACAGGAAGTTAAGTTAGAGAACTTTTTAGAAAAAGAGTGAAAACACTTTGCAATTAGAAAGCCAGACTGGGTACCTCAAATACAATATTTAGAAGCTTTGGGATACTACAAAACATGGATATACAGAACTGTCTTTTTTATCCTATTTCTATAAAATCTGAACTGGAGTATACTGTATAAAAGGAGAAAGAGAAAGAGAAAGAGAGAAGCAGTACTACAGTGCCACCTACAGGCAGAAGTGGAAGCTGGGAGTTGGGAGCTGCAACGGAGAAAGAGGAAAAATATATAAAATATATAACCTTGAGAGACTGTGAGACTGAAGATAAGAACTGACTGCTAGAGAAGCAATTCTTGCGCTATAAGCTGTTTAGACTGAATAACTGAGATAGCAAAACATCGAGATCTGTTATTTTTAAACAGTGTAGCTCTTGGAACTCAAATGGAAATATAAACAGCAAAATACTTCCCTTTCTCTTATTTTTCTTCTGCTCTGTGAACTCTCTATTCGTGGATATAAAATAACTGGTAATTGAATTTTAGGGCTTAGTGGGCCTATGTGGATTACAATTTATCAATTTATTATCCCTCTTTTTTGGATAAAAAAGGATTAGGGTCTGAAGAACCTGAAGAAAATAACAAGAAGGATGGGGTTAAAAGATTGATAACCTTTGGATTGTAATCTATATTTTTTTCTTCACTTCTTTTGTTTTTTGTTTTCCTCTTGGATTACAATTATAACCTTTATTTTTTGTGGATTACAAATACTAAAATATTTTAAAATGAGGAAAACACCATCTGCACTATCTTCAGCATCAGCAGCAGCAACATCTAGCCCATCAGGGCAGAAGACTTTGGATGCTATGTTACAGCAAGAGAAAACAAATGCGATGCAGGTAGAATTAAAAGGGATTATTCAAGCTCTGCATGATGACTTCAAGGAAAAAATAGGGAAAGTAGAGGACAAATTAGAGAATGTTCAACAAATGATGGCAAACAGTCAACAACACATGCAGAAAGTAGAAGAGAAAGTTGAACAAACAGAAAAAAGAGTGGAAGAAGTTGATTACAGACTTACGCTGGCAGACAAAAATAAAGAACAATAATATCTTTAGAGATGGATAGGGCTGATTATTACCTGCGGTTCTAGAATATTGAGGAAGAAAAGGGAGAAAATTTAGTGGAGTTATTGCAGAGCTGCTGGCAGATGTCTTAGAGGTGACCAAAGAAAAAATTCTTGCAGAGATTGATGAAATATTTAGAGTTAATACCAGATATGCAATAAACAGACTTCCTAGAGAGAAATATGTGAGGTTCACTAAAAAAGCAATGAAAGCAGAGATTCTACAAAGAGCAAGAGATGATCCTTTAAAATACAGGGGGAAAGAAATAGTAGTCTTAAAACAGATTCCAAGAAGAGTTAGAGAAATACCAATTCTTGACAAAACAACTAATTAAAAATGGAGTGAATTTCAGATGGCTGATACCAGAAGAAATATTGGTGACTTGGATGGAGCAAAGACATAGATTGGATTCCATAGAAAAAGCAGAACAATTTTATGAGCATTATTTTGAACCACAAGAAGAAATGAGAATAAGAGAAAAAGAAGAGGACAAGCTTATCGCTTAGCGGAAGCTACAGGAGAGAAAAATATACAACAAAAAGAAGATGAAAGAGATTTGGAGGAAATAGCAAAAAGAGAAGAAGCAAAGGCAAAAGAACCGAGAGAGATAAGAGCGACTAGAACTACAAAACCCATCTATAAATAAATTATGGAAGAAGAAATAAAATTAATGTCAATTAACATAAATGGACTGAATTCAGCAATAAAAAGGAAAAGGATTTTTAGTAAATTAGAAAAATTAAAGTTAGACATAATCTGCTTGCAAGAAGTTCACATTAAAAAACAACACAATAAAATATTGGAATATCCCAAAACTGGGAAGTTATATACTTCTCTATCATAACAAAAGAAGAGGGGAATAGCCCTTTACGTAAAAAAGACAATAAACATTAAACAAATCTTTATGGATGAGGAAGGGAGGATTTTGATGGTGGAGATAACAATGAACTATAAACAGATACTCTTAGTAGTAATATATGTACCAAATATTAATCAAGAGGATTTTAATGGTAAACTTCATGTTGTGACTCCGACCCCCGAGCCCGTCTTATCGGAGGGAGAAGGCTCCAAAAGTGAAGGAGAGGAGTTGGCCAGGCCTCCCTCTCCAGGACCCTCCTCTCTGACAATGTCTCAGGTGTTTCCTGAAGGAGAAGAGATTGGCCAGGAGCCAGGTATCGCCGAGCAGTCGCAGTCGGACAGTGACGAAGATAAGTCTTGGCTGGATCCATGCCAGCGTCGGAGAGACAAGTGCACGCAGCAGAAAAGGCGTGCCAGAGATTAAGCTGAGTCACTGGACCACACCCCACAGGGGATAAAAGGGGGTGTGGTGGCCATTCAGGCTCTGTGACAGACAAAACTAAACAACTAGCGAGTCTCATTGTATCTCTGAAACTATGTTATCTGCCTGCCTTGGATTTAATACGGACTGGACTTGATAATTCTGTGGCTTTGTGTATTTGTTTTGATTCTCTGTGAGTAAAGTTCTTGGCAAGCAGCTACTGGGTTGCTGCCAATCCTGTTATCAAAGGAATTTATTGTCTGCAAGTTTTATTTAACTCCTGGCTGACTGTTTGTGTGCGTGTGTGAGACGGGGACAGAACACTTCATAAGAAAATAATAGAACTGGAGTATGAAAACATATATATAGTAGGAGATTTTAATGCAATTGTGGATGTGGAATTTGATTACAAAACCAGAAAGGTAAATAAAAAAGCCAGAACACTTCCTAAGGCTTTCTTCAAAATGGCAGAAGAACTAGGCATACAAAATCCTTTGCGGGAGATACATCCCAAGGAAAACCAATACTCACTTTACTCAGATAGACATATGTCTTGGTCAAGAATAGATATGATATGGATGTCAGCAAAGTTAAAATCTAATATACAAGAAATAAATATAGAAACAAGTAATTGGGCGGATCACAATCCGATAAAAGTTATATGGAAGGGACAAAAAAAGGAAATTAAGATGGACGTTGAATCAATCAATACTAAAAGAAAAGGAATTTATTCAATTTATGGAAAGAGAACTGGACTTTTTCTTTAAAGAAAAGAGAAAAAAAGAAACGT